CATCACGGTTGTAACAGTGGTAGTGATGATAACGATGACGGCGATTGTTATGATGACGATGACGTCATCACAATGAAGACGAAAGGAATGGCGCACTGGAATATTACCGGTGTTAAAAGTGCCCTAGCAAATTTGTCTACGGTCTAAAATTCGTAATTGCTTTGGCCATTGCTAATGCTATTATTGTTTCTAGTATAATTATAATTGTAATTAAAATTATTTTTAAGCTTATTATTATTATTAATGTTATTTCCATTTATATTGTCGATGCCCTTTATTATTATTATTATTACTATAATTATTATTATTATTATATCGAAATTCACTGCAAACCTCCCAGAAGTACTGTTCAAATTTGTTAGGAGAAGTCTCATCCAACAACTCCCCACAAATGCAAATTTGTTCAAATGGGGCAAATCATCAACGGCTGACTGTCCATTGTGCAAAGCGCGGCAAACAAACAAACATGTTCTGTCTAATTGCAATTCGGTGGCAGCACTGAAAAGATTCACAACGCGTCACAACAAAATTTTAAACATAATTATAGAAAGGTTGAAAGCATGCGCGGGCCCAGAGGTTTCGATATATGCAGATGTGGACTATGATGGGATCCCTCCAGTGTCTTGTCTCTTCAAATTCCTACGTTCTGACAACGCAATACTTCGTGACGACACAATAGAAATATTAGAGCTGACGGTCTGCCATAAATCCAACCTACTCAACTCAAAAAAATATAAAACCATCAAATACTCAGAAAATCTCAAAAATAATTTGCATGACAATTAAATACACCTGAAAATAATAGTTAATACTTTTGAAATTTCAACATTGGGCTTTTGCAATTTTTTAAATTTATTATTAATCAATAACATTTGGTCAGATCAATTTCATAATAACCTTATTAACTCTGTAATACCGTCATCTTATGCCATCTACTGTGAACGCAATAACAATTGAACTGTTCGTTTAAAACTAATCATATCTCGTTGTACTCGTTTATTTCAAATGATGAGCATCGTAGAATACCACTGTATTTAATTTAATTTAAATCAATTTATCTATTTTATTTTATTTTATTAGATTTTAATTAGACTTTTATCTCATTTTACTATATTTCATATTTTTCTAGAAATAAAAGAGAGTTCACATTATTATTATTATTATTGTTGTTGTTGTTGTTGTTGTTGTTGTTGTTGTTGTTGTTGTTGTTGTTGTTGTTGTTGTTGTTGTTGTTGTTGTTGTTGTTGTTGTTATTATTGTTCTCATCGTTGATGTTTGTTTTTGTAAATTAGTTCTTATCACCTTTCTACTTTTCACCATTCACTGTGGACAGCAGTACTTACTCTCAGAAATGTTCATCACTCATTACTAAGAAGGGGAAGAGGCCAAAATTTTGAAAATGTTCAAAATTAAAATTTTATGGGTGGTCGGGCCAAAACAAAATTTGTGGTAGCGTGGCTGGCGACCTTTTTTTTGCTTATCACCTCCACTTTTTGGTTGATTTTCTACCTAAAATGGTCCTTCTTCATCTACTGCCTCTTCTAAATCTGCCACTGATTGCTATTATTAGTAACTATTAAACTATTAATATTATTGCGATCGCTAATGTAACTGTACGTAGTTGAACCGGCTGGTGATATGATGTCAGCATCTTCAGGATCTTGTATAACTGTTTCTGTTTTATTTTCGTTTATCATTTCATTAGATGATTTTTTTCCAAAGGCCGATCATATTTTTCCAATCATATCCGCTTTGTGTTAATTGATCTTGTCATTTTGTTGGTCGAATCTTCTATTTAGTTCTTCCATAGGATTTGATAAGTCGAACTCATCAGGTTCGTTACCTTCAATTTTCAGAGCGTCCCTTAGACGGTTTATCAAAACTGCCTTCACTTTTTCGGGTCGATGTTTCTTTCTTGTAGCTCCTTCCTCAAGTTAGTTGTATTGAGTTCTTCCAATGCTGGCATTCTTTTTGCAGAAAGTTTCGGTCTACCAAAAATCTTACTTCTGGCACCCACTAATGATGTAACTTTAAAGATCTCTACATTTTCAACAGCTACTGCTGTAGCTTCCAACGATCGTCAAGTGTTCGTTATTCCGAAGGTTCAAGATTTCTGATTGATGAACACAACTGCTTCAAACGCAAATTTTGATGAACGTTTATTTGAATGCCAACAGTAATAAAAACAATAAACTAATTTAAGTAACTACATAAATCACATTTACGACTTCGCCTCAAACCTTGCTATTGATTTCGCTACTCCTATCCCTTAGATACAAGAGATTCTGGCAATCCAAAGATATTAAATTAGATATTACTATAATTTTTATTATTCATATTTACTTGTGCATCTTCAATTAAAATAACATCTATTATAATATATATAAAGATATGTAAAAAAAATTAAAAAAATTAATGACAGCACTCTCACTTAAATGGCCGCAAACGCGCCACTGTGTAGTAATCTACACGACTTTTACACCACTAATGTTGTTTCTTGACTGTGTCGTTCTATTTTTATGATGTTATACTGCTAATGTTTTTGCTCTATCATATGCACTGTCACTGTTAATGTCATATTGTTAAAGATTGGAAGTGACAGGTTTTTTGTTTTGTTAAGAAGAAATTTTTATTTTCCTGATGTTCGTCTTTTTGTGATTCTGCTTGTTATGTATTCAATTTGGTTAAGTTTGTGCCTAGGACGGTTATCCATGTTAAAAGCTGAAACAGAAATTAATGGTTGTTCAACTATATTGAATTGAATCTTCATCGAGTTTATCAATATAAAAAGAGGTTGATGAAACTTTCCATGTTTCAATCTCAATATTATTGTTTCATTGTTTGACGCAGTATATTTTTTTACTCATATTATTATTATTATTTGAAAGATGACCAAAAAAGATAAACTTGTTGATAGGCCACCCTTAACTAAAAAAAAATTCTAACTAAAAATGTAACAGAAATGTCAAATACATTACACAAATTGCGCTGTTAATAAATATGGTGATATAAAGCGATGTTGAAGCTAATCAAAGACATACTTAATATACGTAATATATAATATATGATTACATGAGTTTATTTTCGAATAGATTGTAGTTTCATGTTGAAATAAAATAATGAGATAAGTTACAGTAGTTACAATAAATTTTCAAAATTCAGTTTTGTGAAAACTAATTGAAAAATTTTTTTGTCTCAATGATTTAATGAGCTCTTTGGTATGCTTTCACATGTGCAAGACTTGATGATGGAAAAAATATAAAAAGAAATATTTCATTTAAACAGTATTATTCATTAAATTATTAAGAAAATAGAAGGGTTTCCACGTAAACAAATTAAAACTATTTCAACTGAAACATAATTAAAATATAATAATATACTTTCACGTCAAAAATTTATATAATTGAAATAAAATAAATACCTGTTTAAATCCTCAAAATTATTCATCTTTATATTCTAGTAAAAGAAAAAAATAACCAGAAACGATTTTTTGCATAAAGATTCATCCAAACACTAACGCCAACAACACTAATATTCTGCCGAACATAGCCCAAAAGACGCACGAATCTATCACGATTCTTAACGGAACAACATGTTAATACTATCTGCTGGGTAGCGTACGGTGGTATATAAGCGTGAATCTATAGCATAATGTATGAATGCTATACATTCAAATTCTCGTTTATATATATATATATTCATATGTGTATGTGTGTGTGTGTTAGTGTATTTCTTTTATGTGCCTATATATCTGTATATGTGCATGTGTAGAATAAAATTTGTGTGGGTTGAAGAAAGTTATTTTACAAAGTAAGCAAGCAAGCCGTGGACAGATGTTCTAGATTTGAGTGGCAATCAGACTATAAAAACGTAACTGAATTTGATCAATGTGCATGTTGTGTGTGTGTTGTGTGTGTGTGCATGTTGTGTGTGTGTTGTGTGTGTTGTATGTGTTTGTGTTTGTGTGTGTGTGTGTGTGTGTGTGTGTGTGTTTGTGTGTACATAATATATTGTTGTAATCCTTGACCTCGTAACTACCAACCCCGATGTTATAACTCTAATTATAATTTAAGATATAATTTGAAGTTTTTTATATTTCCAACACCAGTGTTGTAGCTTCCAACGATTGTCATGTGTTCATTATTCTGTAGGTTCAAGATTTCCGAGAGATGAACACAACTGCTTCAAACGCAAACTTTGTTGAACGTTTACTTGAATGCCAACAGTTATAGAAACAATAAACTAATCCTAGTAACCACATAGGTCACATTTAGGACTTCGCTTTCTCTGCTGGAAACCTGACTACACAATCACAAATACAATATTTCTTTACACTCCATGGTTTACAATCCAAAGATTACGGATATAGCAAAGACAACAATAATTGAATAATAAATAATATAGCGCATTTCGACTATTCCTGCGGTTATAATAATATATTAAATGTAAAAGGAATTACAATCTGCAACAAAAAATGAAATAAATATTTTGACGATGATAATTGCTGAAATGCCGCTATGCTGCAAAGAAGCAGACGAATTACTACTACTCTACTAATATTTGACGTCAAACTCATTACAAAAAAAGTTTATGCGTGCTCTCATGATTTCTGTAGATCTCTTAATAAGAAGATATTGAAAAAATATCATCACAAGCTGATTATGATGATGTTTTTGATAACAGCACTGAGTAGGTATAAGTAGTTTCTTCATGTCATAACCGATTGACCTTATATAATTTTTAGCATAATTTATTATTTCATAATTGTTTCTGTATTTCAGTGTAAAAATAAAACATAACAACAAATTTTAAACAAAAAGTTGAAAAAAAAAATTTTTTTTTGGAGCTGCGACCTCAGAACCCTTCGATTCCTCCTCTCCTCAGTGGTACAGAAGTTATTCGATAAAATTAAATTTGTCATCAAAAAGTCAACATTTTAAAACTACAGTATGAATATTTTGCCATATATTATACTTTGGATGTAATTGAAATTAACTATGAACTGACACATGCACACACACATACACACGCACACAACCGTCCAATACAGTTTATTGTTTGAATCTCACTAAGTAGACCGAGTTACTCTGTTCCTTGTGTTACATCGTTGAAAAATAAATCAGCAAAAACCCCATTGTGTGAAACGAAGTAAATTTGAATTATAATCATTTGCATAAGTTCAATCTTTTATTTGAGTTCTGTTTACAATCAACTGGTAGATTTAAATATTTTTTCTTGTTTTTTAATTCCTTCTATAAAATATGAGCAAAAGCAAAGAAATTGCAATATTAAGAAGACATTTAATATTGCAATATTTTTGTTTTTGCTCACATTGTATACAAAAAAAAGCAGGCGCTTTAGAAATAAATTGTGCGACCGCATTTGAGATTAACAGCTTGTAAGAAATGAGGTTTTCTAAGCTTATTATGCATCGCTTTGTGACATTCGGTCTCGTGCTGGCCTTCCTAAGATCTTTTCATGCTTCCTATATTTTTTTTTGAAATATGAGCAAAAGCAAAGTTTTTGCAATATTATTTGCTTTATCTAAAAACAAAATGTTGCAAAGCCTTATTGTAGATTAAGAGCTTGAAAGAAATGAGATTTTCTAAGTTATCATGCATCATTCTATAACATTCAGTCTCGTGCTGGCTGAAAATCTATTAGGAATTTTTATTTATTAGCAAGAAACATTTTCAACTTTATTTTTTCAACAATGAAATTTTAGTAAAAAAAATATTCGTATGAGGTTCGTTCAAACTTTTTCAATCGTGCTCAAACTGGTTAAAAAACTCCCCAGGTGACATTAAGTTACAAAACTATTGGAGTATATTTTTAAAGATCATTTTATAAGTTACTTTGATACAAATGGTATGCTGAATTGCAGAGAGTATGGCATTGTGAAGAATCTTTCCACGACTCGTCAATTAATGAAATTAAAAGATGTTCAGACGAGCGCTATTGACGAAGGTCTGGATCTTGATGTTATTTATATAAATTTTTATATAAATTCTGCTTGTTGTTATTCACTGCTTGAATGCTTATGACATAAATACTTTTTCGGTCAGTTGGGTTATGGAATATTTGCAGGATAGAAGATCTAGCTCTAGCGTGAGGGTTAATAATTTTTTATCGAAGAGGATTGAAGTCAGAAGTATTAAAACCGCTTTTGTTCATTGTTCATGTGAAGTGAATGGGGCATGTTCGTTCATTGTTCAGTATACTGATGATGCAAAGCTTTTTCATTCATGATAAGTCCATCATTTATTTATGTTATGTTTGTACGGTTCTTAAATTATTTTGTTGAAACAAATTTATTTTTCAAGTTATATAAAAATACAAAATTTTATTTGTAATTTTACATAATATTACTTACTCTCTAAATATGGCTGAAAGCAAATGTATTGGTATATTACATAGAAAAATATTTCAACAGTCATCTTCCATGTTATTAGTTGCACCAACTTTAAGTTCATTGGTTTCGTTTAGTTTTTATGCGAAAGAATAGTTTTGTATTGTAAAAAAATAAATGGATGGAGATGTCGTTTTCAGTTGAAAGATCCACTTTTCGAGGAACTTCTTCATCATCATTGTAATTTAGGAATTCTCCAGGCATACATCAGGCTGGTTGCCATTGTTTTATTTATTAAATTAATTAATGATGATTCAGATTTCTTTATGATTTATTATTTATTTATTTGCTAAATTTAATTTTTCAGTTTTTTGGTTAGTTTCATTTAAAATTTAATTAAATCAAACGATTTTATATGGGATAGGCTTTTAGACTTTTAGAGTGTTATTGTATGTACTGTACTAACTATTTTACTAATGTACTTGATCTCTCATTAAAAAAAATATACTTTGAAAAAAACTACAATTCATTTTCTTTTTATGATATTTTATTTTATAGTTTTTTCTTTATGTTATTTATTTTTTATTTTAAAAAAATATTTAAAAAAACTGTTTCATAACATAAAGTACATATCATTCATCAACTTATCCTGGTTTATAATTAATAATTAATTATTGTAATTTTTATAAATTTATATTATATTTTTGAATAACAATTTCATTGTTGAATAATAATTCTAGTGTTTAACTATTTGTATTTTGTACAAGTTACTTTTATTCAATTAAAATTAAAACAACAGTTCAATTTCTTGTAATTCTCTAATGCCATGAACACTTTTAATTTGTTAACTATTATTTCAGTAGAGATTTTTAATAAAATTTTTTTAAATTTATTCTCTAGATATGGGTATCATTTTTTCAAAGATTGGTGGATATTTTGCAAGAAAAATAGACAACTGTAAATGTGCAATCAGAAACAAAATAGATGACACCAAGCAAGCAATCAGAAATAAAATTAATGACATTAAAAACAGCATTAATAACAAAATTAACTCTTGCATTAATGGTGTTAAATGCTGTCTGAGAAGCAGAAGAGATGACCTGGTGAATGGAGTTTTGGGAGTTAGGGATGGAATATACAACAGAATAACCAGAATAAAAAACCAAATCTGTGATACATGCAGAAACATTAGAGACAACATTTATGGGAAGATAAGATATGTACGAGATTCAGTCGTGGGTGCTAAAAATGCCGTAGTTGATGCGGTTGTGTCAACGAAAAACAGCGTTGTTGGAAGGTACAATGCAGTTAAAAACAACACTTACATGAGGTATCGACGAGTTAGGGATGCCAAACTAACAAAAATTCAAAAAGTTGAGTACTCGGTAGTAGTCATAATCTTGCTCTTCGTGATGTATGTCATGCTGGCAACTGCTTATAATATTTACTATGAGGATTACAATTCCGCTCAACAGAGAATGATCACGATCTACGACAATACCTGCATAGTAACCAACTTCACATTTGAATACACTTGTTTATCTCTACAGTATGCCTGGCTAGGTAGCAAGTTTTGCAGCTACCATGCCTGGCAGTTCATACAATATGTATCCATATACACATACGAAATGTTACTGACCATCAAGCACCATTTCTACGAGGCCTCTAAATCATTTTTTGAATTCATTGTGCAAACTCTAAAAATGTTCTGCCTGTACATCTGGTGGTTGTTGCAGCAACTGGCTGAATATTTATACATAGCTGCCTCATTTGCTGGCCACTACCTACATAAAGTAAGTTGCATTGCTTATGAACACACAAAACATGGAACACTCATAGCTTCTGGTTATGCCAGAGAAGGTGCCAAAATATCATTTCAGTATTCAAAGATTGGTTGTGCATATGCTTTTGAACATGGCAGTGTGTTCTTGAAGGATTTCAGCAAAAAAGCCTTTAAGTACCTTGTCTACCTTGCAACCGACTTTCGACACGCTTCTGTGGAGACCATTTACTGGTTGAGGGAAAATGGACAGGTAGCCATTGTTTGGTTGTCCACCAGCTCGTACCACTTCATCTGTCTCTGCATCAGCTACACATATGATTTTATTGTTTTTGCTTATTATGGCTTCTTCGATCTCATTGGCTGGTTGTATGACTCGAGTTTTATACTGGCTGATCTAATTTCTGACTTTGCAGTGAATGCTTGTCAGATGGCTCTCGATTTAAGTGTACAGGCTTGTGTTAAAGTCCAAGAAATAGCTGTACATACGTATGATTATGTTGTGACGGCCTCAATAGCAATATATGAGACTGTAGTCACAACTTGCATCAATGTGTATGATTGGCTAGTCAATACATACTACGACGTTATTGATTGGTCCATCTATATTTATGAAGTTTTAAAAACATTCATGAATGACCACGGATTTGTTTGGATGTCAAAAATAAATTCAGTCATCGTCAACATCGTAACGTTCCTCTCGAGAAGTCTCTACAAGTTCTTCTCAGATCTCTGTCTCCTGGTCAGCAAACTAGTCTACGCCATATCCGAGAAGATATACACGTTGGTCTACTACGTCATCACGTTGTCGTACAACCTCATCTTCCTCCTCATCAGCAGCTTCAGACTGCTGATCACCACGCTCATGGTGTGCATGAGGTGGTTGTTTGGTAGCATCATCTGGCTCATGTTGATGGCTGGTAGGACCTACTCGTCATTCATGAACACCTACAATTACTACAGGGAGCTTCTCTTCCTAGCTTTCATCTCCTTACTCACCTTCTACTCTGTGGGAGTGGCCAAGGATAGAAAGCGGTCCGAGAAAGTGGTGATGATGACGTTGTTGGGAAGAGATAGTGATGAAATGGAAGTTGAGGATGAGGATGATGGTGACGATGATGATGACGACGAAGATGATGGTGGCAATGAAGATGTTGAGGGTGATGAAGATAATGGAAATGACAAAATCAAAAATTACAAGGATGAAGTTGGTGATGACGATGTCAGCAATAAACAAGTCAAATGTGATAAAAAAGTGACTTATGGTGAAGACAATCTTGGTGATGGTGATGCTATGGTAAGCATTAAACTGCAGACGAAAACAGACAATGTTGAATCTCAGATGAATTTGAGTGAGTCATCTTTTAAAAAGGTTGGTGATGAGGATGGTGAAGATGTAGTTGGTAGTTGTGTGGCTGATGTTGCTGACACACCCATCGATGAAAACATTACAAACGTTTCAAACATCTCTGCTGAATCAAACAAAAGCAATGTCAACAAAGATGTGAAAGTCATTGATGCGGTGGATGCAAAAGCTGCTGAAGATAATTTGAAGCCTACATCAAGTGCTCAAGTTAACCAAGCTGCTTCACAGGGAACTGTAAATAAACCTGATGACGATATCATTAAACAAATTGAGAAAGAAACTAAATCAGATGAAAGTTACAGTTGACGTTGAATGGCTCCTTTTCAGACGGTGTAAGTCCTTTTTTCTTAGCTTTTGGTTAACATTTTCTCTTGATTGTAAAAATGACATGAAAACATTTATTGCACATGCTTTTTCATAATTTTTTGTCAAGTTTTATAATTCAAACCGTTTGTGCTTACTGCTTTAAAAATTTCAATTAGCTCTATATTCATTTAATCTGCATTTCACTTTAGGATATTTTCAACCAGTTGACTCAAATGTGGTTGCCATTTTGTCACACATGGGGATTAGGCTTTTCATTCAATTTAAAACTCTATTTAATCTAATGCACTTAAACGCCGTTCACAACGTAATCCTAAAATGAATTTGCATAAAAAATGTTTCTTCATCACCACAACATCATATCCATTCAAACAGATATCATTTTTATGATTTAAATTCACATATTGGCAGGAATCTGCTTGACTTAGCACAAGATAAAAAAACATGTGTTGCTGATATGCAGATAGATTAGTAACAAACAATGATGTTGATGAAGATGTTCCACAAAGAAAATTCACAAAGAAATTCACGTCTGGTAATTAAAGGATAGTGATGGAAACAAGGCTGATGATAATAAATATAAATTATGTTAATGATACTGAAGGAAAATGATCATAGTGGTTATAAAAATAAATTATGATTAAAAAAGATTATGTTAAGAAAGGAAAAATAATGACAACCGAATTAAAAGTCTAATGATATTCGTCAAGTGTCTTCAGACTTGAACGTCACCATCATCATCATCACAATCAGCATCATCATCACAATCAACATCACCATCATCACATCATTAATGTTCTTATGTGTTTTAATGGGATTAAGAGACCTGCCTGCATCTTTTTCAATGTTCTTCATCATACTGGATCAACAACATCACGCCATCAATTCATTCTTTTGTTTATAATTCATCTTTGTGCATCAACATTCGCTGAGAATTCATCCATAGGTTTAAAATCACGCCATAATGTTGTTCTTCTAAACCTTCTTTTCATATCCCTGTACATTTTGTTTAAACCATTTTGTGGCTTTCTTGAAATTTTATCAAAAAATGATTATTTGCTGTGCCAGTGTATTTTCATGTATAATATATATGTAAATATATTACATGTAAATTTATATATATAAATGTGTGCGCGTGTATATATATATATATATATATATATATATGTGTGTGTGTGTGTGTGTGTGTGTGTGTGTGTGTGTGTGTATAAATGCATGAGTTTGTGTGCATGTTTGTCTATACCGTATGCATGCTTGTTTATGTGTTTACAATTGCACATATTCGGACAATGTAAATTTGTGTTGAATTTTCACACTGAACTAGGTTTGTGTGTAGTAGATTGAAATTTTTATTTGTCAAACTCGGAATCACAACATTGTATAATTAACTTTTTGTTGCTGGCTGTTTTTTGTTGTTTATTTGGGTGATTTTTTTGGTTGGCTAGTTTCTTCCGCGCCGGTATGGTGATTGTGACTCATGTCTTTTGTTTTGTTGTTACATCTAGTTTCTTATTCCGTTGTGTTGTTGTAACAAGGTATTTATTTATCTATTTATTTAACCAATATTTATTTAATTTTATTTCAACTTGATTGATTTTGCCAAAACTCATTATAGCTAAAAAACCTCAAGTCGATATTAATTCGCTTCCAAACAATATTGCTAGTATTAATAATAATGATGACAGACAGTAATGATGTGCTGTGATGGTGGTGATGAAGATATGAAATATGCGCTAGCTAGTGAATGCTTTTTTAACTGGTTGATTCGTTTCAATTTGTTTCAATATTTTATCAAGTTAACTCTCTTACCGATCTGATTTAATGCTCTGGAACTAAAAAAAATTCAAGTTCATTTGAATTGAAGTTATATTTTGAGGGATATTGTTTTAATGATAACTATTATAGTCAGGTATTATATTAGGATTTGGAAAAATTGGAAACACTGTAACAGTAAATCTGTTGCTTAAAGTGGATTTGTGGTTGTAGGCTTTTTGGTTCTCAATTCAACTGTCAATTTTAAATTCTGCAACTAAATTTTTTGAATCCAATTTTGTATTTTATAGGTTATTTCCTAAATAAAATTATTAAATTTAGACTTTATGATTTTTTACTTTTAAAAACATATTGCACTTTGAGTTGAGTATTTGGAGTGCCACTTAACATTGAAAGGAAACAAATGTAAAATAATGGACCTAAATTAAAATTTGTTGCAATTATTGAGTATCATTTAAAAAGAATTTATAATCTAACCACAACCAAGTCTATGAAATCTCAAAAAACTGTTTTTTAATACATGTTTCGCCCATGAATAAAACTTATTTACAATTAGAATAAGGCTGGTAAAATTTTTCAAATTAATTGTTCAGTTGGAACTAGCCTAGCTATAGTAATAAAGACATACTTCTAAATATTTCCTAAATACTTTAAAAATCAGGTCCCTGTCTCTTGTGAAAAATTAAAGTTTTGACGAACTGGATGACCTTGCTGGCGAAATTGTACGGGTCGTCGGCATGCACCCAGTGTCCTGCTCCCGATAGTTTAATAATTTCTGCCGATGGGAAGAACTGCTTGATCATTGGATGGTGTTTCTCACTGCATAAACAATAGATATGATATACCTATAAAATTATGATGGTAGTTAAAAGTTAGTGAGAAAGAAAAACTGTGCTGAATAAACTCGACTCCTCACGTGTCACAATCAGTCCTCAATGTTTAAAGATGCAAAAAAGATGTGGATAGATTATAATAAAATATTTTAAAAAGAATTTTAATGGGTGATTGCAAAGACAAACAAGAACATAAGTAAACACATATGAAGCTGGAGATCTGCCCATTTGCACCGTTCTTTTAAAAACAACCACAAATTTAATTTAGTTTTACGGTTAAGCGCAACCGTTATTATGATGGTGGAGTAGATTTCAGATTATGTTCAACACATATCAAGAAGTAACTTTAATTCCACCAAACGCTTGACCCACCTAAGCATACTGGAGAGACTTCCGCCAATGAATAACGTTCTACCATTATATGTCCGGCCTTGAAACTCTTGAAAAGTCATGAGATCTTGATAATGATCGTGAATGGATTGAAGGTTGAGTCTCCATGTCACTCTACCATCCTTCACTACCAGGTTGGTTAGCAGGAAGTCCCGGATCCTGGCATCCTGGTGTTGTTTTTGTTTGTTTGTTCGTGGTTGCGGTTGATGTGCAGCAAGCAACATGCAAGATATACAACTTCAGGAATAACAGCAGTCTGTTTCAAAGGAACAGACGATATAGTAGAGCACAGTACAGTAGAGAGCACGAACATGTACAACAACAACAGCTCCACAATAAACACTTGACTACCTGCACGGCTGTAGATAGTTGCTTGTTAGCCTCCTTCCTTGCTTGCACGATTGAAATATCTGGAGTTGCATCAAAGTTGATCTCCCTCATCTTCTGCAACATCTTCGGGAAAAAGTCCGTGTCTGCTGTCACTGACCGGCCAGGCACCATGTCCACAACTATCAAGCCTGACAACATGGAGGGCTGTCGAGGGTTCATGTTCACAAATGATGAGAGGATTCTTGAAATAGTAAGCAATATTTGTTCACAATTATTGAGAGCTTTATGCTCATGTTCACAAACTTGTTCATGCATTCATAAACATTTAAATATATTCACAATTGATCGAAGCGTAACTGTTTGTACGTAACAGATACAAAGGCACAATTGGAGAAAACTAAACTAAAGATGTTTTTAGTTTTTTACAATGTTTGATTTTGTATTTGATTGATGTAACGTGCACGAGATATAAATGGAGTGACTTTCATGTTTAATTTTGAATAAATTTGATACAATGACAGGACTCCATGACCATGTGGTCCGAGTTATTGCTAGCAAAAGAGAATCTGAAGTAATTGCATGGATAGTACAAAAAATTATTGGAGGGCAGAAATTTGAAGTTGCTGTTCACTTCCATGTTACTGACCGTGGAGGATGGAGATTCAAAAATTTTGTTGTATTTGGAAAAAACTTAAAATCAGAAAAGTGACAGCATCATCGAAAAAGATTTTTGATGTCTCAAAAATGAATTAGTCCACCCACTTGACTTGAAAATCTGGATAACATTTCTACCTTTCAAAAAAATAGCAGGAAATATCTTGAATATTTTTATCTATTAAACTTGCCATTGATTAAAACATTTTCATATTTTATCAAAAACAATTTGTGTAAATGATGTACAACTACAACCATTGTAGTTGGTATTTCTAGCCATTCCTAGTGGGAATAACATTTTAATAAAAATTCAAAAGTTTTGTCCACAAAAAATTAAAATAAAATCCAACTTACATTGTTTAATGCCATTGTCATGGCAATCTTGCCTCCCATGCTGTGCCCCATGACAACCACTCCCCCACTTAACTTCAAATCATCCAACAGTTTGATGACATCATCAGACATTGCCGGATATGTCATGTTGTTGTTGTGACCACTGTCACCATGGTTACGAGAATCTATGGAGATCACCTGTCAGGTAGGGTTAATTGTTGCAATCTCATGCTTTATTTAAATTTTCTATTCAAACAATATTTGTGGTTTAATTTTTTTTATAGAAATAAATTGTTAAAGTTAAAATACAAATTTATATTGTTTGACTGAGCATAAAACTAACTATTTATCACCTGGCAATAGCCAATAATAAAATTTATTATATGGTTCTAGATCTAACAAATACAAAATTGGCAAAAACTATCATATAACTTGCTTGAAGTGCAGCTTTGTTGGAAAATACTTTTGCCAAGGAATCAAAATTTTTCTTAGACCCAAACAGTCCATGGATGATGAGCATAGTCGGTTGAGACGTCTTTAACTGGTGCTTGTTCTGAAAGTTGCATACTGAATATGAAAGCTGGACTGGGGCTCTAAAGAAAAAGAATGAAATTGCCTAATTTTTAATATTTTTTTATATATAACAATGAGCATAAAACTTATAAAAATTTATTTATATTTTATATTTTTTAAAATGTGTAATTTATGTCGTTTATTAACTAAAAAAAAGACAATGAACAAGCAGAGTTAATAAATGAAAAGTGGGACCTGCCAAGCTAAAGTATATAAGATTTTAACATAAACGTTTTAATTTTTATTATTATTAACCTAAGATCACTTTTAAGTTTTTTTAAGGCTATTTAAAATTTGAAGTCTCACCTTCATCCTTATGTTATCTCACAAAAAAATTCGCCAAATGAATATTAAATAAAATAAAATAATAAAATAATTAATTTAATATTAATTTTAATATTTAAAATAAAAAAAATTAAAATTTTATTTTTTTAAATTTTTTAAAACTTTTTTAAATTTTTTAATTAAATATTAAAAATTAAATATAGATATAAAACAAGCAATCTAAATTAACTTTCTTAATGCAGAAAGCATCAAACTTCTGGTACAACAATAAATATGTGATGTCCTGATGACGGCTCTGACAAAATTTTTTAACATTTTGCATCAATTAAAACTTAAAAGGATAATAATTACATTAAAAAAAGTTTATTAAAATAAACTAAAAGTTGATTCAAAAGAAATCAGTGATGTATGATGTAATTTGTGGGTATCATCGAATCACACCTAAAAGCTTTTTTCAATATATATGGTAAAAAGATGGCGTATCTTATTTTTCTATTAAAATTGAACTATAACACTTAGCGTTCCACTACTCATTCAACCCTGATAGATCTAAGGTAGAAATTCATACAATGTTGACAGTATGAAACTACTTACGAGAACACTAAAAAAACTGTTTAATTCAAATTGATGAACTCTAAATTTTTTAAATTTGTTCATTTATTGAACATAAAATCATGGTGCCTCGTACAGAAAAGAAAGAAATTAATTATGTGTTTGACTGGGCGAAATGCGTTCATAGGTCATATTAGATTTACAAAAAATAAATAAATGTTAATATAACACTGTTAATAATGCTACTACCACCATTACTGCTCTGTCACTACTACAAACACTACTACTACTACTATTACTACTACTACTACTGCTACTGTTGCTGCTACTGCTACTACTACTACTACTGCCACTATTACAACTACTAATTCTTTTACTACTATTTTGTTATATAGTATTGTATAGGTAATCCGATTTAATAATGTGTAATTTTATTTTATTTAGTTTGATTTTTTAAATATTTCGGCAGAGGACAGTTGCTTGGACTTTGTTCACACAAATAAATAAATATTGATAACATTTTAAAAACTTCATGTCAGGCGAATGAGGCGCATTTGAAACCAATGGTTAGATTGACCGTATGTCGGAAGGTTTCGTTGAAATAAGAAATTTTTACTATTGATAATTGAAATAAAATCTAACCACTTATTGAAAACACCAATATTTAAGCGCAAACACACAAGCTCGTGCCGTGCATACAGAAACATGTAGAAAACAAAAAACATGCAATCACTCAAACAAACATACAAAAAGACGAACAAACAAATGAACAAGTAGACAATTATTATGAACTGACATGCACACGGACAAACTTGCAAACGAACAAACAAATAAAAAGGCAAACAGAAGAACATTCACGTCATAAAAACATATCTGCAAACACAAAAACATACATACATACAGAAAAACAAGCACGCATAAAAACACACTCACTAACACACCTACAAACGAACATACAAAAAATACACAAGAATAAAAACATTCATGCACAAACATGCGAACAAACCAACGAACGAATGAACAAGTGCTTGTGAACGTGGTGTGGTGTGGGGCGGAGGAACATAACAATTAAGCAGGAAGTCAATGAAGTACGATACAAACAACGACATAAATTTCAAACTGTCTTACTCTCTAGATTTATATGTCACGTGTCCGTGATGTTATTGTCGTTGTTTTGTTGTGTTGGCTGTATGTTTGTTGTTCATGTTGTTGTTGTTCATGCTGTTGTTGTTGTCGCTTCTGCTGTTGCTGTTCTAGTTTTTGATTTTGTTGCTCTCAGACTTGATTTTCTGTTTTTGTTGTTTTTGTTGTTGCTCTCAGACTAGTTTTTCTCCAATATTTCCATACCCGGTATGTAACACCATCTCTGCTGCCTCCAATGGGCGTTTGGTGTTTGGCGTTTTCTGAGTTAACCAAGATCTATACCCAGTCCATATCTTTCTCCTAACTGTGATATGGCCTTCCATTCAAGCTATAAGTGCGGGACTAACTCGTTATCTTCTTCGCACAACCTGCATTTGTCATCACCTGTGAGACCTAACCGTACCCTCTAACCTCTCAGTGGCAAATGATAACATGTTTGTAAACAACTTGGTTCAATTCTTGTCCAATTTTTCTTCGCATAGACTGATTTCACCTGTATATACCTTTCTGCATATTTCATGCTGTAGAGCTTTCTTTGTTGCTAACATTTGTTTCATCGTTCTTTCTTATCATTCCTTTATTGCTGATTATGCCACATAATTTTCTGCATCTTTGTCTTTATTGGCGTCTGACCAGCAGTGACCTGGAATCCATGCCCCAGTTAGCTTTTTTTCTTGTGATTCCAGCCTGCTCAGTGTGTCTATTAGTTTTATGATGTCTGGGTCTTTATCATCACCATATGCTTGACTTAACTAGTTACACAACATTGTTCATAGAATAAAGTCCAATGCAGGGTTGTGGTATAGCCGTTTTGAGGCCGAAAGAAGAGCTATGGAGCTGGGTTACAAAAAGGATATGGAGCTGGATATATATGTATATATATATTTATTTAAAAATATCATAGGTAAATCATCATACGTAAGAGAGATGGATGATTAAATAAATAAAAAGACATAGAGAGAAAGAAGAAAGAAAAAGAGAGTAGTAAGAGGAGTGATAAAAGAGAAGAGGAGAAGAGAAATGAAGAAAGAATGAAAATAAAGAAGTGAGCGATAGCAAGAGAGAGAGAGAGAGAGAGAGAGAGAAAGCCGGAGGCGAATGGCGTTAGTTAAGTTGATGTCGAACAATTAGACACACCTCCTCATTCGATCTATTTCCGTTTAAAAGTGAACGATAATTCAGTTAGTCAGCAGATGGTGGTGATGATTGTGTGTTTGTCTGGTGCTGGTGTCATGGATTGACTATGCTGGGGGTGACGATGATGATGATGATGATGGTGGTGGTGGTTATGATTACGTTGTGATAATGATGTTAGTGATCGTAATGATGCGATGTAGAAAATAATGGTGCTGGTGGTCATAAATTCGATTGTGGCGTTTTTGGTGACAAGGGTAATGTAATGTTGATATTGTTAACTTTCGGAAATATTTATGTCGGTTGTGATAGTTATGATGTTGATGATGATGATGGCAATGATAATGTTGGTAATGACGATGATGGTTAAGGTGGTGATGTTACAATATCAATAACAACAACAGCATCAGCAGCAACAACAACAAAAGCAGCAGCAACAACAACAGCAGCAGCAATCGTTGCAAACCTTTTTTATTCCAACGTAATAAAGTTCAGACCGATCGGCTTTCCTACAAGCATAAACTACTGCTGCTCCATCGTAAAATGAAACACCAACAACAATAACAACAATAACATAAACAACAACATCATCAACAACAACATCATCAACAACAACATCATCAACAACAACATCAACAACAACATCATCAACAACATCATCAACAACAACATCAACAACAACATCATCAACAACATCATCAACAACAACAACAACATCATCAACAACTGCAACATCATCAACAACATCATCAACAACAACATCAACAACAACATCATCAACAACATCATCAACAACAACAACAACATCATCAACAACTGCAACATCAATAACAATATCAACAACTGGAAAACAAGAAGATCAACATCAAGAACAACAACATCAATATCAACAATAACAACAACAACGTCATCAACAACAACACCATCAACAACAAACACCATCAACAATAACATCATCATCAACAACGATAACGACTTCAACTAGATAAACACCAAGAACATGAACAACACTAACAACAAATCCACAAAAACATTAACAACATCATGACCATCGCCAAACAACAACAACAACAACAACATGACCATCGTCAAACAACAACAGCAACGTCAACCACATAAGAAACAACATCATAATCTGCAGCGTCAAAATATGACATCAACAAATGTTACTTCATTTAAAGGTTAAAGAAAAATGAAAAAAAAAAGATGACCGATGATGACAATAAGGTTGACATTGACAATACAACGATGACAAAAACAATAAAAATTTGCTTTTTTTTAACTTGAATATAACTTATTGGCTTGTTAACATCCAAGTATCACCACCGTCAGCAATACATTATCAGTAACGGCAATACTTTTTTTGCCTAGTAGAATTGTTGATAATGAGTTTATGAAAGACTTGAAAAAATTAAAGGCTTTCGATTTTATTGTTGTCCAGGGACCTCCAGACTTCAAAATTCGACCCTAGGTATGAATATTTATTTTTGTCTGCTTTAAACATAATCAATCGATCGAGTCATTAATTGTTAAGAAATCATTATCATGTTAACAACTGAATGCTCTGACAAACAAATTAACAAAAATAAAAAATAACTTTGAAAGTTAGCAGACAACAAAATAAAAACTGCCTCAACAACAAACACAACAATTGTATCAGTGACATTAACAAGCCCAACAACAACAACAAACAACAATAACAACAACCAACACAATGCAGGCAGATGTTGGTAAGTGAGCACGTGACCAAAGACACTTTATGTGACGACAACTTCTGAAGCGCTTAAGTTTTAAGAGTGTAGCGTGTAATTTGTTACGTTACAAGCGGGATTCAACGAGAACGAGATTCGAATGTTTATGTGCTACTGTTCGACTGTCCGGATGTTAATGACGATGATGTTGATGATGAAGACGAAGAAGATGATGATGATGTTCATGGTGATGGTGAAGACGAAGAAGATGGCGATGATGTTGATGATGATGAGGATGACGAAGATGATGATATTCATGGTGATGATGAGGTAAGAGGAATAAAGAATTAGTGATACGTACCTATTCAAACATGTACTTAGGTATTTTTATGTTCTGCTTGCTCAGTCACAAGTTTGAAAGTACACATAAATACACATACACACATATACAAACAAACATGCAAGCATAGACACACACATACAAACATACAAACATACACACACACAGACACACACATATAAACGCACTTCTGGAAGCACATCATCATATAAACAGGTATCCAGCCCTCAACAAGATATATTGACAGGCTTATTCAAACACACGTATGCAAATTAATTTAAATACCAACAACTACGTGTATATACATGTATGTATGTATGTATGTATGTATGTATGTATGTATGTTTGTATGTATGCATGTATGTATGTATGCATGTATGTATGTATGTATGTATGTATGTATGTATGTATGTATGTATGTATGTATGTATGTATGTATGTATGTATGTATGTATGTATGTATGTATGTATGTATGTATGTATGTATGTATGTATGTATGTATGTGTATGTGTATGTGTATGTATTTATACACATTGTATACACCGAAGCACGTGCGTTTACAAATGTATGAAGAATGACCAGGATACCGGTAACACGGACATATATCAAATAGGAATTCACTTAATGTGTGCTTTAGAAGCCATATCATCTTACTCACTATTTGTTGTAGGCGTGTGTTTATGTCTGTGTGTTTGTGCGTGTCTGTGTGTTTGAATGTTAGTTGGTATGCTGGTCCTGTCTATCTACTTGTTTGTCTGTTTGTCTGTCAAATAGTGAATTTGGCCAAAGCCGAATGGCCGAGTAGTTGGTTTGAAGCGAAAGCCAAAAACCCTCAATTTAAAAAAGATTATTATTTTCTAAAATGAAAAACAAGTTGTATAAGAATACCGTTTGCGAATCGTGCTTATCCAACAATTCTTTATCGAGATTATACTCAATCTCCTGTTTAAATTTAAATGTTTTGACTGCTATGATGGCCAATGTAAATTTTTCGTTAATAATAATCAACATTCGGTTATTGGGACTAAAAATGGCCGAAGCTTAATCTCAAATTTCAGTCAAGTATTCCTCAGACCGAGCGTTCGGTATATCTCTACTTTGCCTATAAGTCTTTTGTTTGTCCGTCTGATTGCGTCTGTCTGTTTAACTGTGTATCTGTTTGTTTGTCAATTTATTTGTGTTTATTTGTTTCAATGTTGGTTTGATTGTTTGTGAGTTTGCCTGTTTCTGTGTGTGCTTGTTTGTCTGTGTGTATTTTTGTTTGTGTCCTTGAAAAAAAGAAGAAAGGAAAAAGTGAAAGAATATAAAAAATGGAGAGAGAAGAGAGCTGTAAGTGAAAGGGAGAGATAATAAGGGAGGGAGAGAGTGTGTGTGTACAGAAGTTAATTAAGCCAATTACCCGCTACATAAATTGAACTGAGACGCATCTACGAGCAGAGAGGGAAGCCGTTGGTGATGGTGATTATGCTGCTGGCGGTGGTGATTATGATGATGATGATAACGACGGTGATGATGATGTTGATGATGCTGCTGGCGGTGATGGTGATGATGGTGATAGCTGTTGTGATGAAAATTAAAATGATGGTGATTGAGATGAGAGTTATACCACTAGCGATAATAATGAAACAAACTGGTCTGATTTTAACTATCAAAAGTTTTTGAATAATTTTTAAATCAATGAAACAAAACTGTAATTGTAATTGAATTGGATACGATGGTGGGGTTGATGTTGGTTATACTGTAAAGATTTTCTCATAAATTTCACCATGATATGTTAGTTGCCAGGCGTGCGAAACTTTTATGTTTGAAGGCACCACTCAAAATTAACGGTTTTGCACCATGGTTCCACATGATAATTTTTCATTGAATATAAAGTTGAAAAATGTATATATTCAACAGATGAGGGATAGAATAGTTGAGCGAATGATGGATAAAAAATGAATTCTATATGAAAAAAGAATGAGTAAATTAAAAATGAATAAACGAAAGAATGAAAACATGAATGAATGAACAGATGAAGGAGTGATGGATGAATAATGAATGAGTGAAGATGGATGAATAATGAATGAGTGAAGGAAGATATTCAATGAACGTCATACTCTAATTCTATTACTAACTGACTTCCCTTGTCTACCTGTGCACTTTTCAATGTGCGTGTGTGTGTTGAATATATGTGTGTGTGTGTGTGTGTGTGTGTGTGTGTGTGTGTGTGTGTGTGTGTGTGTGTGTGTGATGGCGTGTCGGTGTCTGTGTATGTGGTGTTATGGTTGTATGTATATTTGTGCGTGATTATTTGTTTTTGTTTTTATGTCTGTACGTGCATGTGCATATATGATAAGAAATGTGTCTTTGCATCAGTGTGCTTTTAAATGTGTTATACTAACAGTCACACCACACTAACAACGGGGGGAGGGTGAAAAATACACACCCACCTCGGTCGGGAGAGGGATTTAGAAGTGGAGACCCTGAAGCCACAGAAAGTGGAGACGCCTAAGTATATGCACAGCACATAGTTTTCTAATTTTTCTACAGTTCTCTAGGATTCTGTAATTATTCATGGAAGCTGCTTATTTATAAGCGAAGGCTCTCAGTTATTATTTTATTTCATAGGCTATTCCATGTTTTGGAGATAGCGATTTTGTGAATGATTGACCAGAACGTCAGTCTCACATGCCCTATTTCAAATTTGTAGCTTCCTTCATCACCTCGCTTGATAAAACTTCACGAGAATACGAAACCTTAGGATCAGTTAATAACGACTGCATGTTGCTCTACAACTCTTTCTCGAAATTATCTTTAAAATTTTTTTATAGAGTTACCAACGTTGGAGTAATAGAATGCAAGTGTCGGTTTAGATTTATCGTTGAAAATCTTTTTCCTAAAAATTTTTATTGCCGAGAGATTTCATTTAAATTTTAGCTTTTGCTCCAAAACGAAAAACGAATATAAAAAGTCTGGGGCTTAAAATTGTGATAAATTTGAGGTAGAGTAAAAATCTGCATAGTATAAAGATATGGCAGAAATGGTGATTAATGTTAAAATGAATGTTATTACGTATTGTTTATTGAGTTTAGTTTATCGAGAGCTGTAGCTGATCTAGAGGCAGACCACAAAAAACAGAATTTAAAAATCATTCAATCACCACAATAGGAATTCGGAAATCAGCAAAAATAGATCACCAGTTTCGGCATTTCAAAATCACTCCACTGCTGCCAAATTTTTCTTCCGCCGGTGGCTTTATATACCGTAAGTACGAGGGAGTAATTATAAGCGCTACACTCACATGATTCAGTCTATGTATATATTTCTTTTTTTCCTGAGTAAAACCGAACGGGTCATGCATAAAATATTCATATTTTGGTTGTGTTATTATTAAAACAAGCCAGTCACGAAATGTCAGGAGTCAATGAAATATGATAAAGATGACGATGACGACGATGAAGATAATTAAAATTCAGATGTGTTGTTGTTGTGCTGTTGTAATATTGTTGCTACGTTGTTGTTGTTGCTCTGTTGTCGTTGCTGTTGTTTGTCATTCAATGTCTTGTGATGTTTTGTAATGTGATTTGAAAGGTTGTGTTGTTGTAATGCCGTTGTGTTGTGTTGATGTGTCAGTGAGTTGTTAAAATTAGTTGCGTGTTGTTGGCATAGTAGGTGAATGATTGATTGAATAATTCATTACCCCTCTCATCAGCACCATCTCCAAGCATTTTGTACTTTCACCAATCTTTTTAACAGCGTCACGCTATCCATTTGATCGTCATCATCACCATCCTCATCTTCATCCTCATCATCATCATCTTCATCAGCATCATCACCATCCTCATTATCACCATCCTCATCATCACCATCCTCATCTTCATCACCATCTTCATCATCCTCATCAGCATCAGCATCGTCATCGTCATCGTCCTCACCACAGTTATCATTGCGATTATTATCATCGTTGTCAGATATTTTTAAACATTATGTACGTGTGATATGCTGGCGTATACAGAAAATTAAACTAATAAATTACTCGCGGTGCATCGAAAAACCGTCAACAACAACAGAAACGACCTCAAAAACAACACTAACAACAACTACAACATTAACAACAACTACAACATTAACAACAACTACAACATTAACAACAACTACAACATTAACAACAACATCAACAACAACACAACAGCATCATCAACCCAGCAACACCACTACGGCGACAACAAATGGACGAAGATGACCACAACTTTATCACCGACCGGACACAACACAGCAAAGTGTGTTGATAAATAAAGCTAGAAAAGTGTGGTGACCACTCAAACATTCATAAGGTTACGTGAGGTGTCGTTTTTGGCACCCTCGCTTATGTTTAGAACCTTCCGGTAAGCGACTAACACATATCTATCTAATTTCTCTTCGTACGTTTAAGTTGCTACCTGTTTTGCAAAGCAATTTCTCTTTATAAAATTTGTATAGTATGAAACGTTTCGAGTGAATAAGAATGGTAATGGAGTTTTCGTACGTATAGCTGTTCAGATGGGCCAAAAATAATTCGTTTCATTCTATGTAAGGTAGTAGAACCAAGTTAATTTTATGCACGTCAACTTAAATTGACCAGTATCTTATACAACACACAACTACTCTTTTGCTCAACAACACACAAACAAACAAACGAACGAACGAACAACAAATGAACGAGCACACGTCCAATCCTGACCTCAGAACATGAACCTGCATTGAAAGACAATAAACAACGACACTTCACACGGTCGACAACACAACAGTACAACAACACAGTTAGACAACAACACAACAGTGCAACAACACAGTTAAACAACAACACAACAGTACAACAACACAGTTAGATAACAACGCAACAACACATTCACACCGTTACACAACAACACAGACTGCTTTGTGTTGTTGTGTAAGAAACCACATGCTATGAAATAAACATAAAAAAACCTACCCTTCAATACATGATCTGACGTGAATATTGAAAGCAAGAAATTAACACAAACAAAACTTCAACCACCTCCAAGCAAACATCTCAAAAGTACCCTTAAAAAACTTTTCCACCACAAATCAACATTCAGACATCCCTTTGTAAACTATTCCAGCTCGAACAACTTCAACCTTCTGGATGACAGCCTACATGTCAACGCCTTATTGATGTCATTATCACAATTACTACCTAACGAAATAACACTATGACATCAACAACAGCACAAGTATTTTGCGGATTATGAATAACAAAATCACATCAGTACGGATTACATGCAATCGTGTTAATGTGTTTAATTATTATTATTTTTACATTAATTATTTTATCGGTGGTTTACCATCCTTAACAACATAATTAACAACAATATAAACAGTGAAATAACAACAACAACAACATGAACATTAACATTAATCACATAATAATGACATACACTCGAATATATTTATTACAAAATTATTTTTTAAACAATTTTGTTGATTAATTTGTTGTTGATGACTTTGTTTTTGCTCTCTTTGTTGTTGTTGTTGTTGTGGTTTTTTGTTACGCTATTGTTGTAATTTTTATTTTTAATTACATTAAATTATAGATTACATAAACACACCACACCTGTACACACACATACACACACACGCGCACACACGCACACACACGCACACACTCGCATACACACGCACGCACACACTCGCACACACGTTAGCTGCACCATCATGTTAATGTTATGATGGAACGGAAAGTATGGAGACCTTAGAATCGAAAATTTCGATTTTTTTTTATTTTAAAGACACTTTTGAAACTTTGAAAATAAATAAATAATGGAGTTTTTTCATTCTTGAAAATAAATAAATAAACAAAATGGGATTACACAATCACAAAATTCGTTCAGGTAATGCTACTTCAAATTTAAAGACAAAATTATCGGTCATCATCACAGTCTAAATTAGTATCAACCAATCAGGTAACAAAGTTATTATTATCATCGACCAATCACAAACGAGCCACATCGTTGTTTTCATCATCTTCTTCACTCTCTGAACCAACCACATCCAAGTATTCGTCATAATTAATATTCATGACATCGTTGTTGCACACGGTACTATTAACAAGCATGTTGTTGTTGTTGTTTTCGTTTTTGTTGTTAGTGTAATTGTTGTTGAAGAATGTTTTAACACTACCATAATAGTTGTTGTTTGTTATGTTTGTACTAACGAGATTGTTGCTTTTGCTTATATTGTTGTTGTTGTTGTTGTTGTTGCTGCTGCTGCTATGAGTGTTGATGTTATGGCTGGCGTGTGTGCGGTTCAAATGATAAGAAGCATTATTATTACAAGGGCTATCAACATCATCGTTAGCAAAATCGCCATCATCGTCGTCTTCATCGTCATCATTCATTAATTTTCCTTTCTGGACGCTTGCTTCTAAATGTACAGTTGTTGCAGTTTTTTGTTGCGAATGTTGATAATGATGTTGTGGCTGAGGATGTTGAAGAAGACGATGATGATGTAGTTGTTGTTGTTGATGTTGTTGTTGTTGATGGTGGTGGGACTTCAGGTGTATGTTCAGTTCCTGCACGTTGTTGAACTGTGCAGCGCAGTGCGTACATGCGACCTTCACCTTGCTACTGTGTGTCCGACGCACGTGGCTGTCGTGTGCCGCATGGGAAGCGAACGCCTTGCCGCAGTGTTTGCACTGGCAAGTTGTGTCGTTGTTTGTGTTGTTGTTTGTGTTGTTTTTGTTGTAACATTCTTATGAACGATATCATTGCCCCAATCAGAAACAACATCATCGTCATCGCACTCATTGTTATTATTATTGTTATTATTATTATCACCTCATCATCCCAATCTTCACCATCGTCACCATCCACATGATCGTCACCATCATCGTCATCACCATCGTCATCACTATGACCAACTTTAAATGGCTTCTCCCCCGAATGCTGTCTGATGTGAGTTCGGAGGATGCTGGAAGCAGTGAAGGCCTTACTACAGTAGACGCACTTGTAAGGTCGTTCCCCGCTGTGCACCTGGCAAGTTTTGGAGGGTGTTGTAGAGTTTTGTAGGGCATTGTATCATTAACATGTACTAGATATCATCCAAGTATCGTACGACTATCATATGATATTACACTCAATCTTTAGCTATAGATACATATCCATATAGCTATAGATATATATCCATCAGACCAGCCATCAGACCAACCGACCGACCAACCCTCATATGTTTATTGAGACTGGATGACTGGCTGAAACTTTTTGAGCAGACGAGACATTTATGAGGCCTGTGCTTCTCATGAACGTGCAACACGTGGATGCGAAGTCTGTCTCTCTTCTCAAATGATCTGTCGTTGTGTGGTGTGGTGGTTGTCGCGTGTGGACGCGTGTCGTTTTCGTGTGGTTGTTGTATAGTTGAGTGTGGCTGCTGTACAATTGTCGTGTGGTTGTGTGTGGCTGTCATATGGTTGTCGTGTGTGGCTGTGTGTGGCTGTGTATGGTTGTTATTTGGTTGTTGTGTGGTTGGATTTGGCTGTCTATGGCTGTCGCATGGTTGCTGTGTGGTCGTTTTGTGGTTCTGCTATGTTCTGTGGCATCTAGCGTGATGTTGTATTGTTGCAAGATATGATCATGCCAATAGATGTGGTCGTTGTATTATTTTAAATTTGGCGTCCAGTGATTCTAGGTTACGTGACTGATTTGATATTATGAAAACATCATTGCAAAGACAACAATATCGGAACAACATCAGCAACAACGACAAAAACAACATCACGTGACCATCCACAACAACGAAAACAACATCACGTGATCACCTGACCTCCCACAACAACGAAATCAACATCGGGTGATCACCCACCTGGAGCACATGTGGCAGGGAAACTTCCTGTCTCCCTGATCAACACACCTGGTATACTTGAGATGCTTGTCTCTGTAGTACAGGTAGGCAAACACCTTGCCACACCTCTCGCACTGGTAGCCCTCTGAATCTTCAAACGTACGATGTAAAATTATTATTATTGTTATTGTTGTTGTCATTATTAATATTGTTATTATTATTATTTCTTTAGAATATTGTTATAACAATTATGCAACAGCGTGTATTTATTCATAAATGACAGTACTCTGTTCATCCTCGTCACCACCACCACCATCATCATCATCATTATCATAATCACATCATCATCACATCATCTTCATCATCATTATCATAATCATCATCACATCATTACTTTTATCTACATTATCATCACATCATCATCCTCTTACTTTCATCTACATCATCATCACATCATCATCCTCTTACTTTCACTCTCTTCAGTAGCATTCTTGCTTCCGCTTCCGATATCGGTTTCTTGAATTCTACCCTTTGAATTATTTTTAGCCTCCTTGCTATTGACATTTCTATTTTTAGTAGCCAGGGGAATTCCCATAAATTGTAGATAGCAATCATTATCATACCAGACGAGCAACTCGTGACCTTGACTCAATTTGCACGTGACCTCATAAAAAATGGAGCTCTCTCGTTGGTAGGCAACCAAGTTCTGCTCCCATGGAAACCTGGCACAATTTATGTAGGTCAACCAATTAGAGGCCGTCCCTCTGGCGTCGATGTAGTGACCTAATTGGCCATCCTCCTGAAAGATCTGATTAGTTGAACGAGATGTCAATCAATAATTAAATCGCTTTTAAAGAGTGAGCTGTTGTGCTGTACTTGCGCGCGTGAGTGTGTGTGCGTGAGTGTGTGTGCGTGAGTGTGTGTTTGTATGTGCTTTGTTTGTTTGCGTGCATGTTGTTTCACACGTGCACAATTTTGTTTTGAAGTCGGATGGTTTCTAAAATCCGAATGTGTCGTAGAGAAATCTTAAGAGAACAGAGCCTCACACGTAGGTAGGTTAAAAAATTTTCATCTATCCAGTTAAACGTCTTCCCATGTAGATGCACGTTATTATTCTCTTCTGTATTATTGATCCATACGTCCACACATTCCATCACCACAAACAATACGTGGCAGTAAATGACCAACAAGCACTTCGTTAAAACATGATGAAATTAAACAATTTTATTCACGATAGCGTAGTCCTTTATGCGTGCTAATTCAGTAGATTTTATAATAATTTGCATACCAATTTCAACATTCAATCACCAATTCAAGCGTTTAAGTACATGTATATATATATATATATATATATATATATATATATATATATATATATATATATATATATATATATATTTGTATAACCAGCACAAATTAAAAAACACTCTTATATACTAAGAATCATAGACAAACAAAAGTAAACAAACAACGTCACACAAGCATACGCATAAACAAACACCCTACACACAAAAACAACACACACACGAACAAGCAAGCAAGCACACACACACGAAGTAACAGGCAAACACACACACACACACACACACACAGGAAACCACACAAAAGCCACAAACCTCCCACATGAAGCTGTTGTCATCCTTGGACTTGATCTCGCTGGTGTTCACAGACTTGCCTTCGTACGGACCAAACCTGCAACCAACTTCGAAGGAACATCCGACATTCACAAACACACCACAGTGCACAATGCCTGATATTGTCGTTTGCTCGATTGACAGGCCTGGAATAAGATAAATAACATCAGTAACGACAACAACAAATCACAACAACAATAACGAATGAACAACAAACACAACAGCTGAACAACAAACACAACAACTGAACAGCAAACAACAATAACTGAACAACAAACAACAACAACAGAACAACAAACCAAAAATATAAACAAACGACAACAACAACTGAACTAACATAAACATACCGCAAACAACAACACACAACAATGAAAATGGCACACAAAAATGTCAAACAAAAAAAATCAACTATTGGACAACAACACCAATAGCACTAAACAACAACATCAACAAACAACAACAACAGAAAGCAACACCAACAACACTAAACAACAGCATCAGCAAACAAAGGAGAGAAGAGCAAAAATAACCCTCGGGAAGATTAAGTGTACTAGCATCATATTTATTCAATGTTGTGCTGTTGTTGCTGTGGTTATTGTTGCTGCAACCGTTGCGGTGATGTGTTGTACAACCGGATAATATACGGTCCATCCCTGTTTTTTTCGAAGAAATCTTCAAACTAAAACTCGTAAAAAAAATTGACAATAATGTAATCAGTATGCATGTTTGTTCGGCACAAGATCAATCACAGCGAATTCATACGCAGTTGAAATGCCAAAATGAATTTTATTATAAAATTCCCAATGTTAAGTCTGTTTTATGTTCATTTATTCATCTATTTATTTCATATCTGTTTAATTTTTTATGAAATAATTTACATTTTATACATTAAAAATACTTAATTATTAATCTCCTATTTAATTATACACCATACATACATCTGGAAACAAATGTCTCAACAAAAATCTTTTAATATTCTCGCTTTGCTATCAGCTGTAGAAATAATTCTTCATATTAATGTTAATTTTTCATCAACTATTCGCAAAACTAAAAAAAACTCAATTTTTATTTATTAAATATATATATATATATATATATATATATATATATATATATATATATATATATATATATATATATATATATATATTTATAAATTGAGAGAGAGAGAGAGAGAGAGAGAGAGAGAGAAAAAATTAAAACTTAATAGCCACCCAAAAATGAGAACTTCAGTATGTAAATATATATGAATGTTACAAGAACTAAGTCATACACTTACATTCTATTCTCTAAATTTTGAACCCTTATCTACAGGGGTCATAACATTAACATGAAGTCATTTTGGACAACATATGTATGGGATGTGACTAATGTAATAAGACATTAAATAATATTAATAATTATGATTATTACTATAAGAATTAATACATGTGTGTGTGTGTGTGTATGTGTGTGTGAGTGTGTGTGTGTGTGTGCGTGTAAGTGTGTGTGTGCGTAGACATACATAAGCATAAAACATATACACATATACTTAACACATACTCACACATCTTTCGTGGTACATACATATGTATTAGAATGTATATTACATCATTACATTAAAATCTGTTACGTTAACATCAGTAACAATAATCAATACTTGCAATAACAACAACTACATTGCCGAAAATGACAACAACAAAAACAAGCGGAGCCTCTATAGTAGCAAATACAACTCTAACAACTACAACAACAACAACGTCAACATCAACTACAACAACAACACACGTAGTACGAACTTACCATGACTTAGTTGTTCAATCCTTAATCCAGATAATGCGTGAATATACGCTTTGCTGCTGTTGTTGTTGTTGCTGCTGCTGCTGTTGTTGTTGCTGTTGTTGTTGTTGTTGTTGTTAACGTTCGCGTTAATTTCGTTGCTGTTACTTTTACAAGTAACAATTTTAACTTTTACAATTTGGTTGTCGTCGTCTTCGTTGTTGTTGTTGTTACTGAGCGTTTTGTTGTCGTTGTCCAACTTAGAACTGCTATAATATGTTTCACATAAGGATGGAGTTGATTCAATGATGTTGTTGTTGTCAGTGTCATTGTTGCTTTTTGTTGTTGATGGTGCTGTTACAAGACTGTTGGGGGTCTGTTGTTGTTGTTGTTGTTGATGATGTTGTTGTTGTTTGTGTTGTTGTTGCTGATGTTTATAATGATTTTGTAGTTTTGGTAGGGAAGATTTAACGTGATTTGAACTTCTTATATAGCCATACAAGGCCAGATCTAAATCTCGCTGTGTGAACTGTCTTCCCCCTCCAGATGATGATGATGTTGTTGTTGTTGTGGATGATGATGACGACGCTGGTGTTTCAGAAAAATATGATCATGACTTTGTTAATTTAATAACGTATATAAACATTTCAATATTTTAATTGAATATTATATGAAATTTTAAAAAATCCCAAAAATTCAGACCATATTTCTGATTATTAACTCTATAAATAATAATAATAATGATAATAATAATAATGATAATAATAATAATATTAATAATAAAACATCATAGTTACAACACAAAAGATTTTTTTTTACTTTTGTGTATAATTAGTTTCCCATTCATAAGTTTTGAATTGAATGGAATTTGTTGGGACAAATTGTTGGAATGTATTTGTTGCAATATGGCGGTGCTGCTGTTGTTTGTTGTCAACATGTTGCCAAACCACATTTGTTGTTGCTGATGTTGTTGCTGATGTTGAGGATGTTGTTGTTGTTTTAAAAGTTTTAATTTGTTGTTAAAGTTGTTATGTTGCTGTTGTTTGAAATGTCTCGACAACATGGATTTCTGTTGCATGAGCCAGAAATGTTGTTGCTGGTAATGTTGTTGGTATTGCTGTTGTTGTTGTTGCTGCTGCTGCAAAATGCGGCTTGATGCTTTTTGTGGTCCCATTGCCGGGAAGATGAATGCTCTGCCGAAGGATTTGAATAGATGCGGCGCTGTTCCAACATGGCTCAACGGAAACGCTTGATGAAAAATTTTGGAACGTTCCAGAAAGGTCATAAGGTCATTGGAGGGATATTCTTGAAATTGATGGCTGGAAAGAAAGTATTTGATTGGTGGATGGATGAATTTTGATTGATAAGCCGTCTTTGATTGGTTGATAGAGAAGTTTAAATGATTGGTGGATGGATTGTATCTGTATTGATATGTTCAAACTTAATCGACAATAAATATGTACAATTTTTTGTAACAAAACATTTACACGTGATTATCATAATGTTAAACTTAAAGGTGATTGCAGTGATGCCGGTTCGCTAATGATTGTCCAATGCTCCATCAACTTTTATGAAAAAAAAGTCAAAAATAAATGGAGGAACAAGTTGGTGAGTACGAAGTCAATCAAGAAAAAAAGGAGTTGAGAAATGAAGGAGAGTGGAGATGAACAAAAGGAATGAAGGAATGTAGGAGTGACGGATTGACGGAAATGTAAAAGTACACGTAAATGGTGAAACTGAATGAATGAGTGAGTGTGTGAATAAAATTATGAATAAAATAAAAATTATAAAAAAACTATGAACGAACGAACAAACGATTGTAGCCTGAATGATTGCATGAATGAATGCCTGAATGAATGAGTGAAGAAACGAGTAAATGAATGAATGACAAAGCGAAAAAGTGAACCCACCTATCAAGAGGAATTTGATTAGGAGCTGATCTGCAACTATTATCATCATCACCATCTTTTGATGATGTTGATGACGACGACGACGACGATGACGTCATAATGCGATTGATGATGGATGGAAGGTATGGATGAATAAAACTCGAAGATACATCCATCTTTTAGTTAAATCTTTGCTGGAATTATGTTTAGACTATGATGATGACGATAACGCTGATGATGATGGTAATGATGTTGAAGATGGTTAAGTTAGTGGTGTTGGAAATGATGATGTTGAGAATGATGATGTTGAGAATGATGATGTTGAGAATGATGATATTGAAAATGATGATGTTGAGAATGATGATGTTGAGAATGATGATGTTGAGAATGATGATGTTGAGAATGATGATCTAGAAGATGATGACGTTGAGAGTGATGCCAGGTCGCTTGCATTTGAAATACACCATGTGAATAAAAATTGTGCTAATAAAAATGCCGATGATTAAGATGATAAAAAGTCATGTGAGTGAAAATTATGGTGATGTGAAAATGATGAAACTAGCAATGATGATAACATTTGTGACCTACGCAAACGTAATACGGATGTGACAGTTTAAATTAAAAATGCAGCCAAAGATGGTGTTATGAAAATTGTAGTGGTGGTATTGGGCACCTGATTGAAAAAATTTGTCAATAACGTACCGATAACAACATTGTGACAAACACAAAGTTATGATGATGACGATGATGATGTTGTCATGATTGTGATACGAACTTGTCTACATTGGTGTTTGTCACATGATGACTCCAATCAGGATGTCGCGGTTGTTGTTTTATTATTGGACGTTTAACATTCAGTTCAGAGTCAATCAATTAATTTGAGTCTAAATTAATTATTTAATTAATTAATTAATTAATTGGATAGTAACGTTTTTAATAAATAATTTTTATCAACTGAATTTTGGAATTAAGATAATAGTAATTAGGAACCAAAATAAAATACGAAAATCTTCCTATAGATGAAAAACTCAGAAACAGTTCAAAATCAGCCAGCCACCACGGACACCGCCAACAAAACTGACAGATGAACTAAACAGACACGAGCGAGAAATGCCATTGAAGTGCATTTAAAAGGTCAGAACTCTCAACATGAATGGTTACCACACTACATATACATCTCTCTCTCTCTCTCTCTAACTCTCTTTTTCTCTCTCCCTCTCTCTCTTTCTCTCTCTCTATATATATACATATATACAAGTATGTGTGTATATGTATGTATATGTATATATATACCTATACACATAGCATACCCATCTATACAAACACATCTTCATCTATAGTGGAATAGACACAACGCCCATACACAGCGATGCAAGAGCGCCACAGATATACTAATCTAATATACTACACTAGGCCATTATACGCGCACATCTCTTGCTGCTTAGCAACCTTCCTGCTTCGTTCTGATTGGCTGTCGAGAGAGGAAGGGAGGAGTTTGTTGATGTCAGTTGTTTCAAATGCAATAAATAAATGGCTTGGTTAGATCACTTTATTATCGGCGATGCTCTGGTGTTCTTGTGTTTCCGTATTTATTCCAGTATGACTGTGATACATGTCTGTGTGTGTGTGTGTGTGTGTGTGCATACCTGGGTGTACGTGTGTGTGTGTACGTGCGTGTGTGTGTGTGTTCGTATGTGTGTGATTGTGCGTGTTTATGTGTAAAATTTGTACAGTATTTGTATTTTATAGAAGCACATGTTGGGAAGGGCACGACTGTTTTTTTCATGTAATTGAATTTGTGTTCTGTAGATAACAGTTAACTGTTGTCGTTTCGATATATTCATGAAATATAAAAGATATTTAGCGTAGGTGGACTGAATGTCAGCGAACAAAACTTCCAGCGAACAAAACGAGTCGATGTTAACGAAATTATGTTAATCCTTGCAAGCGTGATTTTTAAAGTTTAATTTTTTAGCAGCCTCTTCACCATAACATTTTATGAACTGTGCCCTTCTTCAAAAAAGAAGATGCAAGAGTTTAATTTTTCATATAAAAGCGCCACTGGAACCAATGTTATTTGAGTCTTTGAAGGCATTCATAAGAAAGTTAATTTCCACGAGATGTCAGACTTTTCCTACCTGCCGTCAATTTGCATATCAAAAAGACGGCAAGGTCATGTACTGAAGTGACGTCATCCTCCCGAATACTGCTACCACCACAAACGAAAACCACCACCACTATCATTTTGAAGACACACTACCAAAGAAAAACATCAGCCGCTGAACTGCAAACGAGAATGTTACGCGAGCACAAACACAGATTCTATTTTCGATGCCCAATTATCGCTGACTAATCGTTTGCAAATCATTAAATTTTATATCTTTGTTGAGGCGCACGTTTGTGGCCACGAGCGATAATATAACAACTGCTCGCTAAACTTCCATGCACTCTGTAGGCAGAAAAAGGAGCAAAACATTTCAATGAATTCTCGAATGAAATTTTCTTATAAACAATGAATGAATGCACCATATTTTGAAATAAGAACCACTAGACAAACATACAGGCCAAATTTGAAACATCAAATGTAATGAAGCGTTAAGTAACTAACTCCTAAAGAATAATTTAATCATACTAAAAAAAATTAACAATTGTGTGTGAAACAAAACTTTGCTGCGAATTATTTATTATTTTTATAAAACTTTATATCTTCTACTTGCATCGTCGTCATCAAAATAGCGAAATGAATGACAAATACGCCGTGTTAACAGTTTAACAACTAGCCAAATATTTTGCAAAAAATATCCAACACACCTTTAAGTTTATAAAGAAAATCAATAAATATCATTAATAAAAACTAAAAATAACTAATGTATCAACAAAGTAACCAACTAACCAACCAACTGATCAAACAACCAACTAACTAACAAGCCAACTGACCAAACAACCAATCGACCAGCAAACCGACTAACCAAATCACACAATCAATCAACAACTATAACATTAATAAACCAACCAGTCAACCAATCAAATCCAAGCATTCAAAACAAAACTATTCATTATACATTCAATATCTTGCACACATATACACAGACACACGCATGCACACAGATACATTTACACGTACACACACAAAGAGAGAGAGAGAAAGAGAGAGAGAGAGAGAGAAACACATACCTATAAATATATATGTTTTGGCAATACATGACACACATACAAATTCGCACATACAAATGTGCGCAAGCATA